AGAGTTGCGTTCCGGCAGCAGTTGATATGCTGGCCTGGAGGATGCTGACCTTCTGTTGTGCCAAGAGAGTCCTTAGAGCGTGTACTGGGTCAGATGGGTCTTCACAGAGTCCTTTGTAGTCTGGCTGCGTTGCTGAGGAGCCGTGTGTTTCAGGCAGTGTCTGAAGGAGGTCCTTTGCGGACTGTGCTGCTTTCGGAGCTGCAAGAGTCAAATGAGGTCCGTCACTGCTGGGTCCTTTGCAAATGAAGGGCAGCCGAATGCAATATAGAAGGTTTACTCAAGAGTTGAGCTGAACCTTAACTGTCTTGAAGTCTCTTTCCTCATCAGGTTAGAAACTTAGACAGTGGTGTCTGTTAATGTCTCCTTCGCCGCCAAGTCAGAAACACAGTATGTTGTTGTGCTTGTGAGTGTCTCACTGAACGTACCAGAGACTCGGAAAAAGGACTGACTGTTGAAAGTGTACTTTTATACCTTTCTGATTCCGTTCCTGGAATGTGATTGGCCACTTGTGTCCGAGGTGGCCACAGTGTTACCTGCCCTAGTGTGGAACTCATTTGCATAGAGTCGAGTACAAAGTTAAACAGTGTCTTTAACATTTTACCCATGCATTATTTCTTTACCAAACCTCTTTCAAATTATTACCAGCATCATGGGGAGCAAATAGAATCCAAACATGATAGGAAACAGTTGAGATATCATTTGTTTATTCCATAATATGTTAATAGGCCTGCTCCCATGAACTGTTGTGTTAACAGTCAGTAGCCATTAACTATACTTTTTATCTGGGGGTGAAGTGAATGTTTTGCAGTTAACGTCCATTTAAGGACTCCAAACATAGGTATGAATGGATTTGGATAAATCTTTGTGGCCTTTCTTTGTTTCGGCCACTGCTGCTTCATCCAGAAGTCCTAGGGAATTTTTATGGCAGTTCTTTCCTAAACCTTAGGATCGGGTTTGGTGGTTAGGGTCAACCCGTAGTCCAAATAGACGTCCTCTCTTAGGTGGTGGTGGGTGCAGGAGTTCTCCTATC